TCAATTACCACACCTACTACTTTGTGGAAAACCACCGCTGTAGCTTTGGTCACCTGTATCGTCATAACACAACTGAAAAGCGTAATTTTTTTTTAAGGCAAAAATACATTCTCAGGTAGAAGACAGTCTCCCCATCAGCCTGGCAAAGCAGACTGGAGAGTGCTCCATCTCACGGACAGTAAACTATTTCCACAGACAGCTTCCTGAAACGTGAAGACAGAGAAAACAAAATACAGCAGGAGGAGTTTAAATCAGCAGCTCCCATCGTCTTGGCACACTTTTATCCAAGCTACTGTCTGCTACTTACATGAGAGGAGGTCTGTGCATGGAGCTTCCTTCAGCCAGCCTGGGGCTACCAGCAAACGGCTCACACTAGACTGTAAAAAGAACACGGCCTTCAAATGGTTTCCAGTCCTACAGGAATCAGCTGAGGAGTCTATCGTAGGTTAAACAACGTTACATTAGACCTGGATGCCAACTTCATTACATCTTACGTACTTTTAAACGTTCCGCTTATTTTTAAAAGAAGTTTGGTACGAATATGCTTTATTCACAATTCGACAATGTAGTCATCCTCTTCACAATCACATTCAAAGCGCTGACTTTGCAGCACTTACAAGTCTTTTGGGTCTGCGTTTTCTAGGTTTCACCTGGAGGTAAAAAGGAACGCTGTAAATCCAGCAAGAGCTGGTACTGCTGCACCTGCATGTGCATCAGAGACAAAAAAAAATCAAGATGTTTTCTGTTATTTTGACCACAGGACGGAAACCAGGAGAAATCAGAGACGGAAATAATCTTGGAAATTAGCTAGTCCATCTCCCTGCCGATGGAAAATTGAGAACAAACAACACTCCACAGCTGCTTCGGCCACTCCCATTAAAATCAGCTAAATAGCCCTTCTAAACCATTTTGGCTGGGGTCAGAGGTTGGTTTTGGCCAACTGTGTTCCTGAACTAAGCCCACCCTCACTCCCTGGAAACGGGCTGTTAAGTCCTAGCTCCAGGGAGGTCTCAGAGGGATTTGGCATATTGTATCCATCACCTGGGTTTAGCTAACTTCTTCCCCTTTTTAAGCCACAAAGTTAATTCCCAACCAAACCAATCCCTTTTCCTTACCTGCTCGGAGCCTCTTTCCTAAGCACAGTCAGTCTGTTCCAACATCAGCATCCTCAGCATTTGGGTTTTCCCCACATACACTGCTCAGAAGGTATCACAGGTGATACTGGTATCACTGGTGAAGCTTTGCAGTATCTTTTTTTTTTTTTCCCCTCTTTACAGCAAGGTTGACAACACCTCGCTTTAGCTCTTTGTAAGAGCAGATACACCAAAACCAGCACACTAAGGTGGGGGAAACATGAGGTAGGCAGTGGGGAATATCTCTGCCACTGCTTGGCACAGGGCACCCTCCTACACCAAGAATAACCCTCTCCCTACAGAAAGCAAGGCTCCCCTTAAGGGACAGCAGAGGAAATGGCAACAGAAGATTCACTGCTGCGAAGCCATGGAAAGAATTCAAGTCCAGAAGACCGAATTGGTTTGCCTGGACCAATTAATGGAGTCAAAACAGAACTGGAGGCTCATTTTAGTTAACTTTTTGTCACTGAAACACCCAGGCCTGTAAAGTACCAAGCAGCAGAGATATCACGGAGTGCACATATTCTCCATCTCGGGGCAGGGAGATGAGACAAGGACGGCATCACCTTCCTCAGCAGCATTCACAGAACTAGAAAGGTTCACAGTACTCTGTCCCAGCCCTCGGACAGGGCCAGTGGGGACGTAAAGTCCTACAGCAGCCCTGCATCCCCGCTGCAGAACCGCACCGAATGAACTCCTCTGGGCAAGCTGTTCCCTCTAACGTGGTTAAAAACTGTCTTCCCAAGAAGAACCCAGCACCTATGTCATGCAGACACCGTACACAATCTTTCAAAGAAGTCCGCTCGCTTGTGCTCTAGTGCCTGTAGAAATCCCTGGATTCTCTCCTCCCGCATGGCGGTGCATTTCTGCAACAGTGTCCGTCGACGCCGAGAGTCTCCGTGGGATGCAAACCCCTCCTGCTGCAGCTTCTTTGTCACATAAGCCTGATCCCTTTCCATCTGTTGTCGCCTCCTTTCCTCCATGTAGGAGTCTCTGGCCTTCTAGAGTGAAAAGCAGTAGAGCGTTAGCACTTCACCAGGCCTTTCGGCTCACCTGCGGTGCAGATGCAAGGCAGCACAGGTTACAGAAGCCTCTGCTTGGCCATCAATCTATAGGTTAAATGAAGGGTGGCTCTGCGTGTGCCTCCTCTGCTTTGAGGCAGCTTGCTTGATTGGTTATAAAAAACGCCCAAAACCAACAGAGATATCCTCCTGGACCTTCTCCCCAAGATACAAGTCTGCTCACAGCATTAACTCCTAGTTAAAATAGGTAAAGGTCATGACAGATTGTGGAAAAGCCTTCAGATATCGCAATCGGAGAGGAACAGCACACACGAGGACTTTCAAACCACAGACAAGCTGTCCTCGCCAGTGTCATGACAGGAACTTTGATCCTCTTCACATGGCAGCTGAGAGGTTTTAGGGGATTCAGAGCAATAATTTACGGGGCAATTCTTCGAGCTGATGATCAGGTATTGAGCTAATTAGCTTCAGTAAAATAGCACAAGAGGGCTCAGCATTCCCAGATGTCTGTGATCTAATAATGTACTTGAGACACAGCAGGATGGGCAGGAGAAAGGTAAAGGCAGTAGCTACCCTTGCCTACTCTTCAAGTATTTGAAATATTTTTGCAGAACATCACTCCTGGATTTCTTCTTATTGCACATATCCTAGCCTGCAGCCTCCAACAGCAAAGACACATCTGCATGCAGGAATATTGAGCTTTCATTTCTAAAAAGAGTACAACTGGTCACCGTGACATAACCTGACACACACTTCAGGAGTGCTGGCCTTTCAAATGAGCAAGAAGAAATAATTATTATAATGAGAGCCTGACTCACTGTTTAGCACACTTTCCCTGTGCCCAAGTCAGTAGTTATGCTCTGCCACTGTAAATTAGCTTTTGTTGTGCTGGAAATGAGAGTAGAAACATCCCTAGCTACAGAAAACCCCACTGAATTGGTAGCACTCTGCTGCTGTAGCTCTGCTTCTTTGAAATGCAAAGATCATCCGCCTGTTCAGCGTAAGACTTCCGCGCTTGGACAAAGTGAATTTGTGCCTGTTCACTACAGGCTAACTGGAAAATTAAGATGGCCATTAAATGCAATGCTGCTGGAGCTGATGGAAGGATATCTTTTGTCAAATGCCTCCAAATCAAGTTTTTTTCTGTACCTTGTCAAACCTTCCATCCAGCTGCCTATCCACACCGTAACTGCCTCCAGCATCCTGAGCACTCTCCCAGACACAGCCGCTGTCATAGATTCTGGCTTCTCAGCAAGTCAACACCCTAACCTCACCACCCTCACTCACAAGCAACCCTTCCACCAAGGTAATTTGTTTCAAGAACTCTAGATACTCTTGGCTTTCAAGATCACCTATTTCAAATTAAAAAAAAAAAACCCACCCCAAAACCCAGTTCCTAAATCTCAGCAATTCCTTTGAGTGAAAAGTCCTTCCCTCTGCATAACTAGGCTGCATCACTTGAAAAAAAGGCAGCCTTATATACTGCAAAGTGGGTCTTAGAGCAAGAAAACTGTCCAAAGAGCAAATCTGGACAATAAAAACCCTTGATAATAGCACAGCATGAACACATAGACCCACAAACGAGAACTAAGAAAAGATGAGATTAGCTAGGAACAGAAGAAGCATTTGTTACCCATCAGAAATTAGCACTAGGAGCAAAGTCAGAACAGTGACCTCACTGTTCAATACTGTTCAAGACAGAGGCAAAGCTAATGTCAGTGACAAACACTACTGCCTTTTTCGCTCTCCTCTCAGTGCAGAAGGTGAATTGCCATTAGTTGTATTAATATAATGAATTGCTGGTAGGAAAAGGGCAGAGTTGAGGCAGAAAAAGGAAAAAAAAGAGGTTAAAGACGTGGAGAATTTGGATGCTTCCAGACTGGACCTGATTAAATTCACCCATAATTATGATCATCTACAATCTCTTTGACAACTCTCAAAGGTTAGCAAGGCCTCCGAAGGTAGAAAAGGGCAATATAATGCTTGTCTTTACAAACAGAGGACCCAAATAATTAGACACACTCAGCAAGCAGATATGGTGGAGGTAAGTCTCCACAGTGAGTTCCTCTTCCTGCCAGTTAGGGCTGCCTTTGTGCTACAAGCTGCTCCCCCCCCAGATTTCCCTTTTGAGAGCTCCAGCTCCCAAACTTGTTTTGCTTAAAAATAGTCAGATTACTAAGTCACTACTAAATCAGCCAGATTTCTCTGAAGCAAGTCAGGGAAAGCTCATAATAACAGATCTAAGAGAGGAGGAACAATGACAACAGGAACACTCTCTTCAGTAGACACATCTGGACCTACAAGAGGACACTTGTTCAGTGGCTCTCAGCCCAGGTAGCCTCACTTCAGCTCCCAGAAAGGAAACTCTAAACCCCCTTGTTACAACCCTAAAAACAACAGCGGAGTTAGAGGAAGAGCATGCAAATTCTCCCTGCTCATTCCAGAGTGAACTCCGCAGTCTTTGCTTAAATCACTGACGAAGTGGTTTGAGTTAAACTGACTGATTTTGCTCCGTAGCAAATGAGGAGTGCTTATTCCATCCTGTCGGCTGAGGAGTGGGGACGGATACTTCCAGCTGGTGGAATGAGCAGTAGAGACCGTGCTGATGTGAGATTCTTTAGGTATTCCCGAAAGGAGAGGAGCCTGGCCACCAGCTAAGATGTTGAAGAAGCCACATAGGTACAGCAGGAGCAACACATCTGGCATTAGCTGCTACTGAAACAAGATCTTAACTGCATTAAACAAACAATTTCTGTTCCCACTTTGCACACTCTCACCTGGCCTCCAGCACGCTGCTGTGCAGAGTTTTCCATCTCCCCAGGGCTCCCTTACCTGTAAGGCATTGTAGTTCATCTGGAACCGAAGGATAGCCTCGCACAAGTTCCAAAAGGAATATTCTGGCCACAAGACTGACTGAAACACCAGGCACGAATGGGACGTCTGCAGAAAGCAAGATCACCAAGAATTTAAAGCATCTAGAGAGGGAAAAGTAATCAAGATGCAGCTCTATTGGTCAAACTATGCCAGTCTCCCCACAAAGGTTTTACCTAGGTCTGTTATCAGATTCTACTTAAAATTAAATAAATACCAGCCAGGAGAGTTTGAAATTGCACAAGGTAGAGTCTTTCTAATTAGTTTTTAACGCTGGGACATGAGTAATCCATTCCTGTAAAGATACCAGCAGAATTTTTTCTAATGCTATGTTGGTCTTCATAGAGGTGAAGATGCTGAAGCATCACAGACGTATAATAAAACTAAAATAGCAACACTGGACTACCGAAGGCTGAGTTAAGGGAATAACAGATGCACTGAGGATCAGGACGTGAATTTAAGCCACTCATCAAATGACACCTCGTGATATTCCTTGCTGCCCACTCATGGCATGTAAAGTGCTTAATGAATCTAAGAGTTGTGGTGCACTGAAGACATCCTACAGCTGAAAGATGCAAGATTTCAAGTTAAAACCTATTTGTGCCATCGAGTCCCTTGAAGTTTCAGTAAATGTGTTCCTATAACCACTACTACGGAATCTAATGCTGAAAAGGACTCTGTATTACTCAAAGTTGTAACGATACAGAAAATCTTAGTGTCAATTCTACACAAAAACCATTATGAGGACACGTTCTTTGATGCCAGAGAATCATCCTGAATAGAATCACAGAATCATGGAATGGTTTGGGTTGGAAGGGACCTCAAAGGCCGTCTAGTTTCAACCCCCACACCATGGGCAGGGACACCCTCCACTCCACCAGGTTGCCCAAAGCCTCATCCAACCTGGCCTTGAACACTTCCACGGATGGGGCATCTACAAGTTCTCTGGGCAACTTGTCCCAGTGCCTCACCACCCTCAGAGTGAAAAATTTCTTCCTTATATCCAATCTAAATCTCCCCTCTTTCAGTTTAAAGCCATTGCCCCTTGTCCAAAGTCCCTCTCCAGCTTTCCTGTAGGCCCCCTGTAAGTACTGGAAGGCTGCTATAAGATCACCCCGGAATAGCAAAATGCCCTCCTACTTTGGGGCTGTCAGGACACACAGGATTGCTAGTGAAGGGAAACCTGGCATGTGAGCTGGCCGAGTGGGAGCACAACACGTCTGCTGTAATTCACGGCACGGGAGAGGGGCACCGCGCCAGCCAGGCTCACGGAGCACTGACTCCCTTGGTAACACTTCAGCAGTTACAGCCTCAGTCTCTGAGGAACCTCTGCCAGCACTACCACTGAGAGAAGAAAGCAAAACATCAGTTCAGAGCACTGACACCTATCCAGGGTACAGGTGTGCCCAAAAAGAGAGGGAGGAGAGGGAGATCCCTGGGGAGGCAACCGCAACTCAGGCCAGACAACTTCTGTGAACTTGCTAATAAGTTGGAAAAGGAACATTTGATGTGGTTGCTTAAAGGCAGTTGGGTTTTGGCTCTGAGTTGTTCATGTAAAACAAAATGTTAGCTTTAAGTAAAGCAGCTTGACTCAAACGTTCTCCTGCAAAGTCTGGGTTACAAACAAGTCAATATTGCCCAGCGCAGGAGAAAGAGAAATGGAAGCGGCTTTGGATACTGTCACTGCAAATACACAAACTTTAAACGTGTTAAGAACTTGCTGTGTTCTAGCTTAGCAGCCCAGTCCTGCTGATCTGACTCTGCCACCCCCAGAACCTGTCTTGTAGGGTCCTGTCTTACTGTCAAAGTCAAAGGCACTTCTGAAACTGTGACGAGTCAGGCATGCACATCACACATGTTGTAGGGTTACACCTCCGATACCTACAGCTGACAGATGACAAACACCACTCCCAGGAATCTAGAAATCCTTCCTGGGATTTCCTCACCCCAGGAAATATATTGCCAGGTTAAATGAATCAAAGCCAGGAATTCATCATAAAATGAGGAATTACCTAAATGTGAGAAGCGGAGCAAAAGGATGAGCAATTCATTATTTCCTTGACTGCTGTCAGCTAGACTCATTTGTGATTTCTTATTAAGTGTTTTCAGGATGATACAATTTCAGATTTGTGCTGCAAGGTATTTTAGGCAATCACAGAACTGTGAGAAACAGATTCCTCAGAGGTGCCCCAGCACTCAGTCCATCCAAGAAGTTACCTAACCCCTGGCAGAGAGAGCTTAAGAACCCTCATGCCAGCTCATGCCCGGAGTCAGTAGAACATGGATGCAAAAATGGAATATTTCAAGGAGAAAAACAAAGACTTTACCTGCCAGAGCAAGAAATCACTCAATCGAACCTCTCCAGAGGTTCGGATCAGGAGGTCTGGGTCAGGGGAGTTGCTGGTGTACAGACACTTATCAAGCAACGATTCAGACACATCACTAAGAGAGACAGATGCATCTTATTAAGATCATTCTGACCCAACAGAGGTGGCATTACTAAATCAAAATTACTGAAGGGTTTTGTGTTTTTTTTTTTTTTTTAAAAAAAACAAGACTGCAGATTAAAACTGGGTGGTAGAGCTGTACCACAGCCAGTCGTCTTGTTTCTGATGGATGCTGTTGTCAGGCTATTTTAAATGCTCTTTCAGCCCCAGAGCATTCCCCCCCATGCTCTTTGAAACATAATACAGTGGTGGAACCAGGCTGTGAGGACTTCCATCTGGAGCAGAGAGCAGAGTGCTAACTGCCCCATCTCCTCCAGGGTGGAGGAACAGTTCAGTATTCATGATTCATCTGTTGTTTGACCTCATCGCTAAGACTGCCAGCCAAGCAGCCAATTGTTGTGGCATAAAAACTGCCTTCACGTTTAAACTAACTTAAGACACAGACCTAATTTCTCTTCTGTCTTGATTGTGTATCTATCACCACGGTAACCGAAATAATAAAAACCAAACATTGCATCGTAACTTTAAGTCATTTGTTCCAGTCCTACTGGTTTAATGAGATCTATTTAAAAGCCACTTGGTTTCTGGGAAGTTATTAGTAAAGCGTAGGAGGTAAGACAGGCACAGTCTTCATCTACGAAGCCTCATACAGAAAGACAAGAGTTACCTGGGTTCGAGCAGTCCTTGTTCCACCCCCCATGCCATCTCCCTGACAGCATTGCTGATTTCATGTCTCGATGTGTACGCAAAGCAGACATTTAGAAAGCATCTGAAAAGAGGAGAAATATGTTAAAGACTAACCTAAGGAAGGTCCGGTGATGACAGAGAGAACATCATCTACAACAGTTATGTGTGTTTGTAGGACAAACTGGAAAAAAAAGGCGTATCATGTCTGCCAAGTCTCAGCCTTCAGGTAGAAGAGGAAGGTGTGAGGTATCAGCTACTTTAAACCATGTGTTACTCACTTGTTGTAGTTCCTAGTGGCCAGCACAGCTTGGGCAATCAGCTCCTGAATATCCAAGGGCAGAAGCGGCAGGTCCCCAAGGACACGGATACACACGCCATGCTTCTTCAAGTTCTCCCTGCACCCAACAACGAGAGTGAGACTACAGAAAACAGATCGGTCCCTGCTGCGCGAGCACCATCTTTGCCTTGCACAACATCCACCGAATGAAACAGCAGGCACATAGCAGGCACAGCATCAGCAAAACTAAGAACTAGAAAAAGGCAAAATGACCAAACGTTTTTCAGGTGTTGACATCTGGCTTAGAGTTGATCATTCCACGTCATTCCGTAAAGGGAAACTGAGAATTGCCCAGAGAAGTTGTGGATG